TTGTTTTATTTTATTATCTATCTATCTATCTATCTATCTATCTATCTATCTATCTATCTATCTATCTATCTATCTATCTATCTATCTATCTATCTATCTATCTATCTATCTATCTATCTATCTATCTATCTATCTATCTATCTGGTTCATTTACTATTTATTAACCATTTTTAAGTGGTAAGTATGTTAACTATGCTGTTGACACTAAAAACCGGTATTGGACACTGGTCACTTTTAACTTCACTCTCACCCTTTAAATAATGTACATCAAGTGTATAATATCAATTATGACACATTTAAAACTTATTGGATAACTGGTTAACTATTTATTAGTCATGTATAAACATAATCTTTTTAAGTTCTAAATGTTACTGATTAATAGTGTTTTATAGCTCAGTATTAATGGTTTATGATTAAAAGCCTCAAATTATTTATGAACAATTTCCAAGCCATTTATAAAAGCAGTCATATTGTCAAATTATAAGATTATCCCAATAAAGGGCTCGTAAAACCATGAACTGATATATATATATATATATATATATATATATATATATATATATATATATATATATATATATATATATATATATATATATATATATATATATATATATATATATATATATATAATATTCAGGTTTTGTGAAGCATTATTGAGCAGTTTTTAAAAAAACTACAGATTTTTAGCATTGATAAAATATTAGTCATTGACTGTCCTCTATTCCACAATATTAACAGTTTATAAAGTATTCACAGATTCATTAAAAACATATTTATTATATGTTACACATTTTATAAGTCTTACTATGCTTTAGCCAAGTTTCATAATAAAAATCTCATGTTTTTATTTTAAGATAATAAACAATATTTCTGTTTTCAAACGCCTTTCTTTTAAAAAACCTACAGACAGAAGTGAAGCTATTGTGCGTTCAGGACTGACAGCAGGACATTCATTAATGATGAAACGCCTGAGGACGCGACAGAGAACTTGAATGCGTGGTTGTGGAAATGAAGAGGAAGATGTTTGGTGATGCTGCACGATAATGCACATTATGTACTGAAGTGTCTCCAGGGGAATGTAGCCTAGTGCTGCATGCACGCTGCTGCTGCTGATAGTGGCGTTAATAATGGATAGGCCCACAATATAAAGCGGCTGGTTGCAATGTGATTAGCCCATTCCAGAGTGGCCTATTTCCCCAGAATGACATGCCCAGATAGTGCCCTGCTCCCTCGCCCCTTTATTTAAATCTTGCGCTGATGATGCTCAGGCTCATTGTTGCGTGCGCGCTTTTGCCCCCCGCACATCCCAGACGCAAATACTTATTTCTAATAAAAACAGGTTGCAAACATAACCCGGCCGGATGCTGTTTGTACAGACTGTCCTTTGTGAGAGAGCGAGAGAGAAAAGGTGCATGCAGGCTATTCTATGAGCTACAGCAGCTAGGAGCAGTGATGGCATGCTTTCAACCTACAGTCAAGGTGTTTCTTCTTGGGTCCGCTGACTTCATGCGTCGTGGCCTTGCAGACGGCTTTGCTGATGGCAGAGCCGGTCATGCTGTGCTGCGCGGCGGCGATCCGGTCCGTCAAAGACTGTCCCGACATGTTACAGTGGAGGAGGAGGAGGAGAGGAGGAAGAGGAGGTGGAGGAGGTGGTGGTGGTGGTGGTGGTGGTGATGGTCGTGTCCGGGTGGGGGGAGCTGGGGAGGACGATCAAAATGTCTTTAGTGGTAGGGAGGAGGGTAGTGCCCTCTGTGAGAGTCAGGAGGAAGAGGAGGAGGAGGAAGAGGAGGAGAGAAGCAGCAGAGTACACCGACGAGGATCCGGTGGGAGAATTCATGCGGCGGCCAAAAAAATCATGTAAAAAATGACAGAGGACATTCACATTCAGGCAAAACGACGAGTGTAGGTAGAAATCTGCATAAAGTGCAGCCAGTGCACAGTGAGCGATCCCTGAAATAGATGTTGCCCAAAGGCTGGGATGCCGGCGGCAGGGTGCGTCCGTGCCAACCGCGAATCCGAAATGTCCCTGATCTAAACACGGACGGTGATTAGAAGTACAATCTGCGCGGCATCCACCGTGAGTGACGAACCGACACGAAACAGCATTGTCCTTTCCTTCCCAGCAGTCTCCCTGTTCCTGACCCGGTTTCTCCTCCAGAATCAAAGCGATCCGAGCGCAAACACCTCTCTGATCCCCACAGCACCCCGCGCTGGCTGCACCAACCTCAGCCTCTTTCAGTCTGCGCACTGAGAAAAGGGGAGTATTTCTCTCTGAAAGGTTACCGATAGGCCAGTTCTTATCCCCCCCTCAATTATTATTATGTGTGTAAAATGGCAGCACGTGAATCTGGTGGAGGGAGGGGGGAAAGGGGGGGGCGATGGGGCAACTTCTCGGGTCTGGGCAGGGCGTCAGACCCAGTTGATGAGGCAATTATCTGCTGTGATCACCTTGCTGAGCACTGAAGCCTCAAAACAAATCAGTAATAGTAACAAATCACTTATCAGAACAAAACCCACCTTTATTGTGAAGAGACATGTCTGTTGCTTTAAGCTGTGATATATTTATGCCAACATATCCCCTGTTATCATTTAGTCAGTTGTTTTAACATCTTTTCCAATGTGTTTATTAACTTGATTTCATCCCTTTTTTCTCCCATAGAAAGTACTCCTGGCTTGGTAGTTGGTAGTTCTGTGTTTTGCTTTGTCTCTTTTCTGGATGGGTTAGAAGGAGCAGTTGTTCACATAAACTATTACAGTCCTTGTTTTTTTTTCTGTAGAAAGGAACCATGTCTCTGAGCTTCTGTATCGAGTTGAGTCCCTTTCTTCAACGATGCAATTAATCAAGGTATTGCTAAGTTTAACTAGGGGTAGTTCTGTGTTTACTATATTGTTTTCCTGGAGGAAACATTGACAGAAATATTGCTTCAAATAAATTTGTGTATTTTTTCTTCTTTCTCATAGAAAGTTCTCCTAGCTCAGTGCTTCTGTCTCCTTTCTGTCCACTCAACCTTTCTTTGTTGATAGCTCTAGTGAGCCACACTCCTTTGGTGGTTTATTCCTGTGAAAATTAAGCCTTCCCATTTTTGACACATGCATGATGACAGGAGAGGTGATGGCTGGAAAGTCAACACAGTGCAGTCACTGGACTTTGTTAGATAAATAACTTGCAAAGTTAAAGTAATGTCTAAAGATGTATAATAGAAAATCAAGTGGATTAACTCAACGCAAAACAAGTATGTCATCAAAAAGTAACATGAATTTGTAAATTGTGATATAAGTTTTTGTAGGTTTTGCTCAGCTCAGCTCTTTTGTATGTTATATTAAATCAAAGGACCAGAGCTGATGCTGGTATATGAGAGAAGTTAGATGTTCACATCCTGTCCTTCATGAACATCTGGTTGGGTAAAACATATGTGTGTTTTTAATAAAAGAGAAGCTCTGACTCTTCTTTTTATTTGGCATGAAATTGGTTTGGGTGAGTCTCAGACCCAGACTGAGTTGGAATCCCTTCAGCATAATTATATTTTCTCAGTTCAGCCTTTTTGTCGCTGAGGCTCATAGGCCCTTAATATCTTCTTACCACAGGGATGAGGCCCCGTTAAGACCATGCAATAAAACAATATTTTTCATCTTTTTTTATCATAAAATTTTAATTTAGCATACACGCCCTCCATTGTCTCTTTGGGTTTTCTTCATAGCATTCAGTATAAAAGTGAATTGTTTTTTTTCAGGTGTTTAGCTGCCTATTGATATTGGAGGTGTTTTTTATGTCTAGGATTGACAATAATTAAAAAATATATGGTTGCAGACAATCTTTAAGCTCTCAAACTTTATCCTGTTTTGTGAAATTTTATTGAAGCATCTTGTGATTTATGAAGAGCTCCTAAAAACACAAAAGGCACAAAAACGAGAATTGTTTTTCTTTGGCACGTCCACAAAGAATAGAGACACACATTTGTTATTTTACAAATTGATCCAGGAGCTCATTATTGGGTATGAAGTAAAAGCCAAAGCAACATGTAATAGAAAACACTGAATTTTAAATAACAGTCAGAGCACGCTGGCACAAAAGCAGACAGGTTCTCTTTGCTGATTTTAAAGAAAGAAAGAAAAGACTCAGATTTGGGAAGATATTGATTTTGTGGTTGTAAACAACAAGTTACCACAACAATGGTGCAACAATCTGACAGCAAGTCAGCTCTGGCATTGTTTGTTGTTATGTCTGCAACAAAAACTCACCTCCCCAAGGATATTTGTATTTTCTTTGGACTGGAGATGTCACTAATGAGACACGGAAACCACAATTACCTCTATTTTTATTTTGACCTTAGGGGATTGTTGTAATTTTTTCTCTGCTGAATAGAAGAACACAAGGACCATTCAAGCAGCTGATAACTGTTTCTAATGTTGCACACAGGATTGCAGCTTCTTAGAGAAAAAAGGCTGTCCTGCAGAAGGTCCTGCTCGGACAAGATATCTGTCTTTGTCGAGATCAACAGAGACTGCAGTATTGAGATAATTGGGACACAGTCAAATATCAAAAGCTCACACACAAAAAAAATCTGACTGAGAAATTCTAATTGTTTTTCTTTTCCGACGCAGATTAGACATTTTACCTCAACAGAACAAAGGTAGCTTTTAAAATACCTTCCTCTTTAGCCTTAGGTCTGCTGCAGGGTGTGGTGAACCTGCTGCAGCCGTTACACCTGGCTGCAGTCATCTAACCACGTGTGATCTGACGTTTCTGGGTTGAATCAAGCCACACCTGTCCTCCATCCACCACGGAAGTCTGGACTTTTTTCTCCAAAGAATGTTGCAGAAATGCTTTGCTGTAAAATGTTCAGTGAAGGTAATGATTTGAAATAATCACTTTTTTCATCTTTCTAGCTAGTTAAACACATATATGTTTTAAAAATGCATATTTGTGTATTAGGCTTCTTTTTATTTTAAATCTAAAACACAAAATAGAATGACTCTGCTTCATGACCAGGCTGACATTTATTGTGTTAATTGCAGAAACCAACGAAAATATTCAAACCATAAACTCACATTGCACACAAACTAAATATAAGGTCAATATTTCTGAGAGTGTTCACATTTTATGTGTTTATATTTTTCTAGTTGGTTAAATAACAAAAAATATAACCATAAAAAACAAAACTCTCTTTACTCTCTCTTTACTCCTCTATATTGGAGTGTGAGCACAGATTTAAATAATGTTCTTACTTACTACGTGTAGCTTATAAAAGGACATTTTCTTTCAGATCTTTTGTCACTGATGTAATGTGATTATTTTAAACAAGAAGAGCAGTTTAAAGGACTCCTTGCGGTGCTTGCGTATCCCGACAAAAGGATGGAGGTGGGCTCTCGCTCTGTCACTGAGATCTCCTCGTTGTTCATGATGTGCTCCACCAAACAACGCGCTGCCTCCTCGATGTTTGTGTTTTCCTGATAGTCAGAACACATAAGCATTTCTAAAGAAATGTTTTTACAACTTATTTTGCATCATGAATGAGCAGAATGCTGAAAAAAAAAAGTTGGATTATAGAGGTTCAGAGAAAGGTATCTGGTGAATTTGCAGTAAGGTTTCTGAATCAGAATAAAATGTGCAGATTTTGAAAACCTGGATGTGTTACATTTTCATCTTGTGCTACTGATAAGTCAAAAATGTTTTTTCCAGCTGTCCGAGAGCATACACAGCCCAAAATTATTTATTTGTCAGCGGCATTATTGTGTTTTAAAAGTGAACTGTCTTAACAATGACCATCAGCCTTCAGTTAGGTTTGCATGCTCACCTCTGGATCCTGCTGTGAACCTGCAGTGGATGTTTCTGTCCGGATCTCACTGAGCTGTCTGCAGAGCTTATGGATTCTTCAACTGAAATGTTTTCTCTGACTTCTACTCTGATGTGATGTAATTTTTTAGACACATTGAGTCAGAAAGGGAAAAAAACAGAAGTCTGGACGTCACGCTACACTTTTCTTCAGTTTCTCTCTTATAACTGAGAAAATAATTTGTGTTTCAAGCAAATCTTTTGATTTTACAGTCAGCTGTTGTTGCCTTTTACTATTTATCCTAATTATTTTTCCTTTGGTAATCTGCTTTCAAAGGTCTTCAGTAGCACTACTGCACTTCTGCAGTAAAAATCAGGAGTATGGGTCTGGATGCTGCTTTTACCTTTGCAGACGTCTCAAACCAGCCAACAAATCCGTTCTCCCTGCAGAAGAAGTCCAGTTTGGGCAGCTGACACGCCATTTGGTCTGACTTGTTGGCAAGCAGAACAGCAGGAACTGGTCTCCCATGGTTCAGCGTCACCTGAGGAGAGATAATAAGAACCTCACATTACAGCTGCAGAAGCCGCTATTTCGTATCCAATATTTTAACAATAACATGCAAAAACACTGTGATTGTTTATTTTAAAGTCAAGCCCAAAAATACTCATTCACCTGTATGAGTATCTTTTAAACGTCTGGATTTTTACAACCATCCAAAATAACTTTGTTTAAATTGGTTATTGTAAATCTATGCAGACAAAGATGACATGCAGAGTTTCACAAGGCTCCACCTTCAGGTCACTTTTAGACAAGGCTTGCCAGCGCCCTCTAGCTTAGATTATGAGATATTACAACATTTATTATCTTATGTTTATGTATTTTGTCATCTCTTGACCAAAGGCTATTACAAATCTACAACCTTTTAATTGAAAAATGCTTTCCGATCAGAGGATTTTACCAGCATTGCTACTGCACTGGTAAAGGTTTTAAATGCCATTCAGATTTAAAACAATGCATCTAAAACTTCTGTGCTGCTGTTACTGAATCGTAAGAGTGGCATAGTTGGCTATAACATACGAATTGGTTGACTGGAAAAGTGTGTGAATGTCTTGTTCAGGAGAAAAATAGTTCACATCTTAATCACCAGATCAGCTTTACTTTATATCAGTTGGCAATGATATATCTGATTCCTCAAGGCTCCATTTTCAATCCATTTTATTCAACATCTGGCACAGAAAGTTACTTCTATGCTGATGACACACAGCTACAGATTTCTGTGTCACTGATCACATTCTGCATGATCACATTCAATTACATTCACAGAGTTAGTGTTTCTATAGCATCTGAATTACCGGGGCAGGTCACTGTTTTTGTAAGGTTACAGATTGAGAAAGACACAGAGTGATCAGAAAAGGACACAAAATCCCTAAAACTGAGTTTGTCTCACCTTAGAGTCCAAGTCATCCTTCCACTTCAGCACAGCCTCAAATGTGGAGGCCCTGGTCACATCAAACACCACCAGTGCTCCCACTGCCTCCCTGTAGTAGACCCGGGTCATGTTCCCATAGCGCTCCTGTCCTGGGACAAAAGAACAGCAAACCAACTCAACTCCACAAATATCTGAGATTGTGTGTCCGTGTACGTGTGAGTGAGTCCATTTATTTTATGGTAGCTATCATCATGTGATTGATATTATTGATCATGAGAACACTTCAGTCACAGTCAGACACAAGATCTACATTCCACAAGGAAGCATCAAGTACAGGGAGGCTCTGTGGCATGCAGAGGGCAGACTGACTCACTGGGGAAGTATTTTTATTGTTCCAATTTCTGACACAGTCACAAACACAACAGCCATGTTAAAGTACTTTCAAGTTTGTAAGTTCTTGCTCTTAAATTATCATTAAAATATCAGCTCAAAAAAAATATTATTTTTTTTGTTGTTTTTTGGTGTGTAAAACTGAGGCAGACCTGCTATGTCCCACAGCTGCAGCCGGATCACAGTGTCACTGTCCCACTGCAGAACTTTCAGCGCGAAGTCAACCCCGATGGTGGCTCTGTAGTGCTGGGAGAAGATCTGATGAACGTACCGCTTGATGATGGAAGTTTTCCCGACACCAAGATCCCCGACAACCAGGACTTTGAAGAGAAGCTCCTGCTGCATGTCTGCAGCTCGGAGAAAACGACTAAAAGGGAAATCAATAAGTACACAATCAGATGTTGAAATACTTGATGTTGGTGACAACAAAGTCATGGAAAGTTTTTTTTTCTTCTTCTGTCAAATTACGAACAAAACATCACATCAGATCGATCTGCAGGAAAAACAGCGCTGACGGTCTGAGCTGATCATTTTAAGGCCAACCTATTATAACAGTTTGAACGCGTGTCTAACAGCCGACTGAGACAAGTTGATGGTGCATTTAAGAGCTGCTCGTAAATCTAGGCATCAATCACTTCTATACCCCCCCCCCCCTCACACACACACACACACACACACACACACACACAAAATATAACAATTATTAGGGGGAATAATTATACATATAATCATCATATAATTAGGGGGCGATATATATATATATATATATATATCACATATATATATATATATATATATATATATATATATATATATATATATATATATATATATATATATATATATATATATATATATATATATATATATATATATTATTTATGTAGGCTATGTAGGTTATGTAGGCTATATATGTGCATTTGCCAACCATGAATTTTGTGTCCCTGTTTGTGCATTATGACATTCTTTCCCTACAGTACCTGAATGCATCGTCTGCTTTATTGTCAAAATAGGAAGGTTACATCAGTCCACGCTGCAGGGACTTGAAGCGCTGCAGTCTGCGGCAGACAGCGCCGTCACAACATTATATTTTAAATCCGTGTCTAACGTCTGTCTTTGTGAAAGTAAATGGTTACTTCAAGTACTGCTTGGAAATATCACTTTCCTGAAAGTGTCGCGATGAACTTACCTGAGTACCGAAGTAAATGTAAACCGTTTTAAGTGGAGTTAGCCAGTAGTTGTGTAAATATCATTTCATCATGTCATGAAAACGGAAGCTATTTAATTGTAGAAATTGAGTGATTTTCTGGTGACATTCCACTTCATTCTCTGTTAAAACTCAATCCGTTACCAATAATACCAAAACAGTGAAACCCTGCAGATGCGACACCAACACTCTGTGCAAACCGTTCAAGTTGGAATAAACAGGAAATATTCACTCTTTAAAGTAGGAATGTGTGCTATTTTATTTTTGTGCAAAAACCTTAGAATGAATTATCCGGTTCTGTTTGTGCTAACATTGGGCTCCAATATGTAGAACAAAGTTGCAAACGTCGGTGGTTGTCTAAACATCATTCTTTGCACGCAGTGATGAAGTTAAATAAAACTGTGGACCTCACGCCATTCTGTTCCTCCAGTGCATGAATGCAGCATCTTGATAGTTTGTCGCTGCGCTGTTATCGGTGTAGTTACGGTACTGGTGCTGATGAGGGCGAGGAAGAGGTGTTTGTGCGTGATGCTGCCGCTGCTGTTGGTGGTGGTGCTGTGTCCTGCTGCCATTTCGGATGATCACACGGAAATATCAGCAGCTCCCATCACTAGCTTCACTAGCTGCACTGGCTGCTCTGCGCGCTCAGCAGCTCCATTCTGCACCTTTGAAACCGTCAACTGGACGGGTTCATGTGTTGCGTCTTTTGGAGGTTATTCCTGTAAGAAGCTGCATCATAGCTACCGAAAGCCTCAGGGGTCATTTTCAGAAGACACAGTCATCAACATGGAGCTTGTTTTTTACTGCTGCTGAGCTCAGAACCAAGGTAGGCCACCATCTCCTGGTATTTATGTCTCATCTTAAATATGTAGAATAAAAATACTCCTGGGATAATTTAGGGAAAGACTAATGGATAAAACAGCTTTGTTTACCTGTTAGGGATCTGGGCAACAACATGTTATGTTGTGCATGTATTTCTTCACTGAAAGCATACATGGCTTGCTCCAACGTCTCATTGAGTGTTATTGCTCCCTCCCAGCTACTCTATAATCCACATGGGGGTTGACTACACCACTGTTTATTGAGTTGGCCCTCCCCCTCCCTATTATCTCCTCAAATTAGATCACCCCACTGTGAATCACTTGCACAGGACTGAGATGATTTGAGCTTATTATAATATTGTTATGAACCAAGAATTATTATATAATCGTCACATTCGAGGGCTTAAACTGATTTATGTCATGCTTTTTAAACAGATGCACTGTTTAAAAGAAGAAATTGAAGAAGACCTTCCTGTTTTCAATAGAATTTAGACTTTGAATTTGATGGATGTGCTCTAGCACATAAATATGCTCTGATCTACACCATTCCTCTTTAACTCTGGCAGGAATGTCATTATCCTTTGGGAAGGTGAACATCCTCTCTGGTTTGCAGCAGGATTTCTTCCAGGATTGTATTACATTTAGCTCCTTCCATCTTTCTCTGTTCCTGCTGAAGAAGCATATCCTCAGAATGATATTGCCTCCAACATACCTGACTGTAGGGACGGTGCTTTAAACCACAAATAAAGTTTTGCATGTATGTCTGAAAGTGAAATTTTGGTTTTCTCTCAATATATGATGTATGACAAACTATAAACTGGACTTCTTAAGGCTTTCTTTTTTCCACTTTCCCATTAAGGTAACATTTGTGGAGTTCAACATTTGTGATATTCACCTGAGTTATGCAGCTCCTCCAGCGTCACCAGGGGTATCTCGGTTGTTTCACTGATTATCTCTCAGTACAAACCACTGTGTCTTGATGTTTTCAGTTGTGCCACGCTTTTTTCATGTTCAGATGTTTTATTCAACAGTATTCGGTGAGCTGTTTGGACTGCTGCTGTTTTATCATGTTGTTCTGCAATGTTTTCTAATAAACCTCTGAGGCTTTCAAAGAAAATAAATGTAAAAATGAACATTAATAAAACACAGTTGATTTACAGTAATGAGGTGACAGTGAAAGGCAGGTGGATGCATACAAAAGCACAACGGGGTTTTTAAGATTTTTATTTTTAAATTATTTCAACGGTCATGTTTCCATTTTTCTTCTGCTTCTAAAATAAAACATTAAAGTGTCGATAGTGGAACAAAAAGTTCTATAAGTGCAATGAATATGAGAAATGTGCAAAGGAGTGTGTATGGAAATGTACAAACTTAACCCATGAACTGATCAGGAAAAAATAAACAATTTAAAGTTAATCTCATTAGTGTGAGATTTAGCTTCTGTCTTCTGTTTAACGCTCAGTGAAAAACCTTCTGACATCTTTCTCTGCGACAGACTAAACTCACATGAGTCATGGAGACAATATGGCTTTACCAGTTCCGTCTGATCGTCATCGGAGACTCCACAGTGGGCAAGTCATGTCTGATCCGGAGGTTCACAGAGGGCCGCTTCGCCCAAGGTGTCAGACCCCACTGTGGGCGTAGACTTCTTCTCTCGCCTGGTGGAGATCGAGCCAGGAAAAAGGATCAAACTTCAGATCTGGGACACTGCAGGACAAGAGAGGTTCAGGTAGAGACAATATTGTACTTACCGCTTCAAGTTTCTATTTTTGTCGGCCTCATGACGTATAAACAAGATTGCACAAATTTTAATCCCTGCTAATTTGTCCCATTTGTTGGTTGATGTTTTTATTGCTCCTTGCAGGCCCAGTGTTCAGATCCTGTCTTGTTTGCTACATTCATTTTGCTCTTGTAAAGCTCCTTTATTATATTCCCTTAATTCCAAAATGTATTTTCTATGTAAGTTTGCAGAGCCTGATCTTTTTCTAATTCTGATCGGTTTATCTCTTTGTTTCATGTTTACTGTAATGTGAAACAAGTTAGAAAACACAAATTCGCTTTCTGAAGAAGAAAGACTGTTCTTACTGTTTCACATTTCTGACTCGGCCCACAACTTTCCACATCTTAATTCTCATCCGGTTCTTGATGGATTTGAAGATTCCAGTTCAGATTATTTCACCATATGCAGTAGAATTAATTTTATCCCCATATTTTCTATTTGCCAGAATTTGTTTGTGTTGCTCTATTTCAGATAATATCAATAAAATCCAACTCGATATTTGGTTGTAGTGTGATAAAATGTGGAAACAATTAAAAGCCTTTTGCAAGACATAACAAGTTCTGTATGTAACAACAAATTAATTGCAAACTGATTAATCCCATGTTTTTGTTCTGTCCAGGTCCATTACCAGAGCCTACTACCGTAACTCAGTGGGTGGCCTTTTGCTCTTTGACATCACAAACCGCCGCTCCTTCCAGAACGTCCATAACTGGCTGGAGGAGGCGCGAAGTCACGTCCAGCCGCATAGCATCGTCTTCCTGCTCGTTGGCCACAAGTGTGACCTGGAGGCCCAGCGTCAGGTGACCCTGCATGAGGCGGAGAAGCTGGCAGGGGCCTATGGGATGCGTTATGTGGAGACTTCGGCACGGGATGCTATTAATGTGGAGAAGGTCTGAACATACAGTGATGTTTAAAAGTATCTGCACCTTCAGAAATGTCTCCTATTTTGGCTTTATTATCATATGGAAATATTTCAGAGAATCAAGTTAATTGCAAATACAAAATGCAATTTTTAAACTGTAATTTAATTTATGAAGGAACTTGGTCCTATGTGAGATGTAATTCCCATTAACAAATTGTGTTGGAAGTTAAGCTAAATTTGATTTAATTCTCACTGAAGATTTCTTTTTTCTTCAGGCGTTTGTAGATTTGACGAGGGAAATCTTTGAGCTGGTCCGAAGTGGGGACATCCAGATCCAAGATGGCTGGGAAGGAGTAAAAAGTGGATTTGTTCCCAACATGGTCCATTCCTCCGAAGAAGTCACCAAAGGGAGCCGGCAGTGTTTCTGCTGATGGCTGCAGCACCTGAGCTGGAAGGTGGTATAAATAAAACCTCACCAGACCGAAGTTTTCTGCTGCTGCTGCTTTCAGGCCAGATTTTTGGGACTGTTACTCACTTTACTCCTACATGTACGGCACTGTTTAACCATCCGTTTTAAGCTACGCTCAGATTCCCAACAGGTGTAGAAGCACAAGAAGCATCCTGACCCCTCACCTTTCCGTCTGCATGCATCCGTGTGTCTGTAGCTTTTAGCAACACTGCAGCCACTTTTGGCCTTTTTCTCAAGTGATAACTCCTGTGGCTGGTTATGTCGAAGCCAGAGACTCATACTGCCAGTCTGGTGTCCATCTGTTCATGTATCCACAAGAAATTAGTCTGGATGGAAGACTGAGGCTCACCGCTAACCATTAGAAGAAAACGTTGTTGCTGTCCAATTGGACAGCTGTGCCATGGATATGACTTGCTGTGTACATGGAGACAACAGAAGCAATGAATCAAGCCAGTAGTTGGGATTTTTCTATTGGTTTGCCTCTAACTGCTGAAGGGAATAGTTGGTCAGAAGGAAAATCTTCTGTAGCTGCTCACTGACTGCCTTTAAGAACAGACCATAGGAAGGTTATTAACCGGACAATTTTCTTACTTGTGTTTCAGATTGGTCTAACGATAAGAGTGTATGCATTTGTGTGGTAGTTTCATGTTGTGCATCTGTTCAGTTTATAAAATATACCCTGCAAACCCCATGGATCCTTTCAATGTGCTGTGATTTTTTTTAAAACTTTGATTTTTTTTTTCTCTGTTGAGAAAAAATATTGAAAATGTTTTTTTGTTTGTTTTATTTTTAACCAAATTTAGCCTGAACAAAGACATTGAAAGTCAGACTTGGTTGATCCCATTTGATCAACCCCAAACACCTTTCAGTCCACAGACCTCAATCTGTCTGCTTCATGAAACATGTTTAATGCTTAGCCATCAATTAGGCCGTCAAGAAGCAAATTAATTAATTGAGTTTCAAACAAAAATAAGATTAACCTCTATTACAGGGACAAATGTTGGTCAGAGGTGAGTTCAAATTGTAAAATGTTGATGATATGTTACATTAATACATAAAGTTTGTGATTATAAAATTGAAAAAAACAAAAAAATCTGCTTTCCGTAGCAAGTAAAAGTGACCTACACTTTTACTTGCTAGTGTACAAAAAGGAAAAAAGGTTTTTCAATTTTCCTGCTTTTAGTAGGTAAAAGTGACCTACTAAATACTTTATTCTTTTTATAAAAATACTTTATATTTGGATCTCGATTCGAGGATTTGACCAAATATTTCTTGTAGTTATATAAAGTCACAACTGTGTGGAAACCAACAATTAGGGAATATTTGGAGAACCTTCAATGTAACAAAGGGTTTGGCATGTGGCCACTGATCAGACTGAGCCTTTTCCTCTCCTGTCAACCAGCTAATTGAAATGTCAGAAATAATCTAAGACTGGAAAGTGGAACACTTTGCAATGCTATCCTGTAAAAAGCACAAAGTTTTGCCTAAATATTCAGTAACAAGTGAAGGACAACTCAACACATGGGGGAGCCATTTCCCCATTGACTGCACATGCAAAAAGAATTAGAAAACCTTTTGAGGGAACAACTAACAAATTAGTTACATTTCAATATTATGTGCTCAATTCCTCCCAGGGCAACTACCCTTATCAACTGACTACTTAACACAATTAGGTAACGCTCCCTTTAGGTCCTCTTACATTACGTTGTAAATGTTTCCTATAATTGTCTGGGAGTCTTGAGCGAATTTTTCCTGAAGGTCATATGGTGTGCAGATTTTAGAAGATGTTTTGGGGACATTTGGAGAGCATTATCAATGTTTTTAAACTAACATTGATAACACCATTGTTTCAAATTAGCATTTTAAACACTGTTAAACGATCCGTTGAAAGCTGTGCTCAGATTCCCAACAGGTGTAGATGCACAAGAAGCATCCTTTTTTCATTTTTATTCCTTTTCCAATCTTTTAAACGATTCTCCTTTTACCATAGTTGCATATGTTGCACACAGCTTTCTCCTTTGGCCTTAATTTGTGCATTTAAAATAATTTTGACAATAAGGTGTTAAGAAGCCAATTAACATGTATTGTATCTAGAAGACGACAGTTAAAGAGTTATTGTCTTAACTAACATGAATAGTAAAAAGAAATGTTGCTTAAATACAAAGGATATTCATCAATTAAACCCAATTGTAAAAACAATATTATATTATTTTTATAATATTATAAAAACAATGTTATATTGTTATTGTATTTGAAGGATATAATTGAGTTAATTAGTATATCCTCTGGACTTTTTCACACTTTATTTTGATTTTTGTCATCCCATCTAGCACTCTTTATGCATATTTATAAAAGCAAATCTTTGTTCATAAATATTATTGAAATAAACATCCCCCCTTCAGGGTACAATCTCTTTGTACATTAAAGGCAACAATCTATGAATTGGTTATTCAATTGGTCTGTATCTAAATCTTCCTCATAAAATACCAATAAGTATGAACTATTGGGATAAAACATGTTAAATAAACAATGGATGAGTCCATTTACGCCATCTGAATGGAGGTAGAATCTCTTCTGAGTGACTTTGGATGTAATAAGTGGAAACCCACTGAATGTTTAGAAAGTCAATGTAAGACAGAAAGTTTGAGAATTCAATTAAAGCCAGACCAGTGAGTTATCATGTTTCACCAGCAGAGGGCAGCCTGATTAAATGGAGAAGTAATAAAACTATGATCACTTCCTCACAAAATACAAAGGTAGGCAAGAAAAATGACCAGATAACGTCAACTTTTAAACTAATAAATTCAGTCCAAGCCTCTGTAACATGACAGATGTCACAGGGCAACACAGAGACAAACCACCATGCACACTCACACTTAGGGAGAATTTGGAGAGACTAATTAACCTGACAGTCATGTTTTTGGACTGTGGGATGAAGCCGGAGTACCCGGAGAGAACCCATGCATACACAGAGAGAACATGCAAACTCCGTGCAGAAATAACCTGGGTGGGGAATCGAACCCAGGACCTTCTTGCTGCAAGGCAACAGTCCTACCAACTGTGACTATTTAATCTACTTTTTAACTTCTTAGTAATATCCTCTAAACCTCCGAATTTGCTCTAAAATGAACAATAATTGTTGAAATGTTATAACAGAGGAAATTACCCTGTTGTAAATAACTTTTACAGAAGGACAAAAATGTGATCGGGAAGTGAATTTGTTAGTTCTGCTTTTTTTCAGAACCTAATCTGCCTACCCAAAGGGTAGGGCTTCTGCAGCTAACAGAATGTGTGCTAACTGCGCAGTGAGGTGAGTAATCAGTGAATCATTGGAAAAAAAACTGGAGCGTCTGGCATTAAACTCGTTTGCTGAGAAAAAGAACAGGGAGAGGACGGGATCCAAGAGGATAAATCACTTTTATTAAAAAAAAAAAAGAAAAGAGAAAATTAAAACGCAGCTCATTTTACACAATGAAGCATATGTACAGAATACAAAACTCAATTGTTGCTCTCACTGATACAGCACTACGGGGGAATTATTGGATTCATTTTTCAAAAAGGCACCAGGGCGGGTTGTGACGAGTTGAGTGAGTCAACACACCGTCACAGAACATTTTGGGCACGAGTAAGCGTGGAGAACATAAAGTTCAGACCAAAAAGTTGAAGAGCAAATTTTACATTCGACTTCACAAATGGTTCTTATGCGCCATCTGCAAAAAAAAAAGACAATTAAATCTACCTTGTACTGATAAACGCTTTAAAGATATGTTTCAAAGTATAATCCAGCTTCCATGGGAGCATTTTGTATCTCACATAGTTTAATAATTTGGGCTTCAGCAGCATCAGTTCCTTCAAGTGTAATCTACAAAAACTGTCATCAGGTTTACATGTTTTTTCATGTCAAAGAAAGTATATTTGCATAATTTACAGCAATATACAAAGATATTTAAACAAATACTGTACACTCTACAGTAAAGCACTTTTACTATGACAACAAACACACACAAAAAAAAAACAACTTAAAAATAAGTTATCAATCAGACTGAAAAAGGCTTGGGGCAAAAACAGTTAGAATAATTTAAATACCAGCTCATTGGTAGTTTTTGGGAAGCGGAGTAAAAAAATATTCAGTTTGGTCGGAAAACATCAGAAATGAAACATATAACATGACAAAAGATCAACATTAAGTTGTACGTCTAAAAAGCAAGTTAAAATGAATACATACAGGCAGAAAAACAGTGAAGCTTTCCCAAACAATCAATAAACACATAAATATTAACATTTTCTAACAAAATTAGAAGTAAATAAGATTATAAAACTAAAATACAAGTGATGATAATTCATCTGAAAAAGGTTTAAAATTTGAAGTTATATAGCTGAAACTAATCAAGAGTCTTAGTGGAGAATAGATGTTTTTTTTACAAAGAAGTAAAAAACAAAGAGAGATTACATTTTAGTGGTAAAACTTGACATGAACCCTGGCTTATTTTGGACGTGCATCACAGTTCATTACATTTCTTCTGAAAATGCCGACCCTCAAAATCCCATCAACCTCGTCCGGTCTGTACAAATGTGTGAACAAGACAACAATACAAAAGGCAGATAAACTGGTATGTTAGCAAAATTGTAAGTTGGTAAATCCACTGAATAATTTTAAGATCCATACAGCAGGATGACGCGAACGTTCAACCACACAGATTTATGTGTTTTATGTACATTTTAGAGCCACTGAAGTTGAAATCAAAGGCCACAAAGTTGAATGGTGACGTGATAATACTGTGATAAAACAACTGTTAGATTATATCATATGTATGCATGGGCTGGCTGTAGATATAAAGGTTGTAAAAATTTGTGGTTTGAAAAGTGCAAAAAATTTTTTGTGATACTTCTACTTTCGATATGACCATGTGGGTGGTTGCCCAGGGCGGCGTTAGAAAAAGGGGGTGGCACCAGACGAAAAAACATTAAATGAGCAATTTTTCATTTCTTCTTTGTATGCACATAGATGTCTGGAGAGGTTTTCACATGCCCCAGGTTTTAGATGGTTATGTTTTAGAGCAGTTTGTGACTGTAGACGGCGACAGACTGAGGACTTTGGAAATAGGCCAGTCGCAATGAGCAATAAATCAATTAATTGTAAAATAAATTAAAACAAGCTCCATGTTTTATCATTTCTCTATCAAAAACTGGATGATAAAATTCTTCAGTCTGGAGTTTCGGTCTAAACTAGACGTCATAATTTTATTTGTAGTTTCTGTTGTTTTGTTCATCTATTTATTTTGTATCTATAAATGTCTTCCAGTTCCAAATTCTGGATGTTTCTTAGAATTTAAGGCGTATTCATCTTCCATTATCATAACTATACTTGAAAATAGACTCAAAACAACAATATTGTCATTTATCGCAATAGCTTCTGGGACAACTTATCATCCAGCAAAATTTGTAATTGTGACAGGTTGGAAATACTTTCTTATCGCAATAAATACTAAAAGAAATATTGTGATGATAAATCGTAAAATGAAATGTACTGTTATATTTAGTGTATGTTTGTTCTATTGCGTTACTTCTTTTTTTTATACCAACATAAGAATGTAATAATGCTATAGAAAATATTATTTTAAGTAATATTCATGAATTTATGTTTTACATTCTTGATTTAAATTTTGGAGTTGATAGCAACAAACCATGGTATTTTTGCTCAGCTCATGCCTAGTTACTCCAGATAAATATTGAGTCTACAGCAGTTTTCAGAGAGATTTAGGATGAAGTGGATATAGTGTTCCTAGTTAGGTCTTCAGCTGCACAATATTGAACATAAACATCACTGACCAGATGCTACTGACCTACCAGTAAAAACTGACACTGTAAACCTCACAGCCTCTCACACACGACGTGTAAACACACAGGTAGCGTCCTCCACTGCACCACATTCATGAGAGGGATTACTGTCCTCTGCCACTTTGTTGCTAGACTCACTGAATGGTTTTATGATGGTGAACTTAATGGCTCAAATGGTCATTGACTGGGATTTACACTGGGACTCACATTAGTCCACTTCAGGACATTAATAACACACAAAAAGTAAAAAACAAAAAGTAACATTTTTCCAGTTTGCAGCTTCATGTAACGGAATAAAACACGATCTGACCCCTTTGTTGGTCAGATTCATTGAAAGCATGCGATTCAGGCAGGTAAATGCTTGCTGTGGGCTAAGGCTAAATAAAACCGGGTTAAAAGTCAGACGAGCTGGAGATCAGCTTCGTCACAGAGTCTAGTTGTCAAGTAGTTGATCAGCCTCCAAGTCAGAGGTAAGATGTGTGTTGTGTGTTTCTTGCCTTTGCCCTCCCTTTGAACCCGGAGCAGCGTTCTGAGTAGGCATGGGCCGGTTGCCGGTTTCAACGTATACCGTGATATGGTTTGAAAACCACGCAAATTTAGCGCCATACTGTGCTTGCAGTGTAAGCATTTATTTTTGTAATGTCTGGTCAGCAAAAAGGTGGAGCTCAAATCCCACTGGTCCTCTGCTGCTGCATAGTTACTAGCTCTGCATGTTTACGCAGCTTCCAAAGACAAATAACTTTGACTATGAACACAGAGATTACGATGATAGACTAATTTGAAATTGCAGTTAAATTCTCATCTGTCTGAATTGTTTTTTTTTAGAAAAAGCAGAGCTTCCTGCAGCAACAGGTCATGTCACAGGGTGAAGATCAGCCCACAATTGAGCAAATATTTAAGAAGCAAATCGCGTATGCATTTACGTCACAGCATGATAAAGAAAATGCAAAATAACACAGTTTCAAGCTGTCGCCATAATACCGTGATTCCGCGAAACCAAAGGTCATAATTTCATACCGGCCCATGCCTAGTTCCGACCCGCCTGCACTGTAAATGATGAGGAATGGGTGCAGGTGCCCGGAAACGAGCCTCGGGTCTGCATCAGTCCGTATCAGGGGCTGCTGCTGGCCTCCACGTCGCTCTCATCAGGACTGCCCTTGTAAATCGGGCTTTTGTTCTGCAGCGCCGGCTCGTATTTTCCTGAGGGCGACTTGTTGTTAGCTTCACTGCTGTTTTTAATACCGTAAAAGAAGTAGATGGCAAAGCCTGGAGGAAAAAGGGCAGATAAAAGAAATGACATGAGCACGCTGCCCCAGTTAGATGGAACAGAAGGGAACAAGGGTTTGGAAACGTTTAAACGCACCGATAACCATCCAGACTGAGAAGCGGCACCATGTACCAATGTCCAGCTGCATCATGAGGTAGATGTTGACAAAAACGCTGAACAGAGGCAACCATGGAAGCAGTGGGACCTTGAGAAAACAAAGATTACATTTAGGAACTGCTCAGTGAAACACTACAAGTGCCAAAACACACAAAAAAAATCAGTCATCTGACCTTGAAGGTCAGAGCCTCTTTGCTCTGTGGCTGCCTCCATATGATGATAATGCAGACGACGCAGAGCAGAGCCAAGATGATGCAGGGCACTATCACAGCTGGATGTGCAACAAGCAGCTGGTCCAAACCGTTTGCCAGGATGATGCACAGAATGGTGATGAGAACAGCTGTGAAAACAGGAGAAAGAAAACAAACTCAGATCCTGCTGGACATGACTCTAACAAGTAGACTGAGCACTTGGTAGCAGACTTACAAATAACAGCTGTGGTAACGTAGACTATCATCCCAGAGGTCTTAGTTGGGATTTTCCCACTTGGGCAGAAGAGCAGCTTGGCAGTGAATGTCTCATGGAGGGGTCTGTCTTCCATCTCCATGCCATACTCGTCCCCGCTGTCCCCGCCGCTCACAGCCACCTTCTCGCCTTCCACCAGCTCCACCAGCTTCTCCGTCTGACTGGACGAATTCAGATTGCCTGGCTGATACCTGTTGAGTGAGGGCAGAGAGGCTGTTTTAAACTGAAACATCAAGGAAAACGTCTTCTGTACTGTTGAAAATATCACCAAGTTATCATGACAGGCTTACACATAATAAATTGCCCCAGAAGTTACTGCAATACACAATAATGTTGTTTTGAGACCATTTTCAAATAATACATTTATAATGCAGTCATGATAATGACTGCATTATAAATGCAGTCAAGAAGAATGACTGCATTATAAATGCAGTCAAATAATGACCAATTTCTATCAGAAAACTCTTCCCTTTGCTTGATTTGTGTTTTATTGGGTTTTTAGTCCACGACTCACTGTTATCTGTTATATTAGTGTCTATTATTAAAGATAAAGCTGTCAGGATAAATAAGAAAAATTATCGGCCTGTGTGCTATCCAAGGTCCTGCGCCTTTAGACCGAGTAAGATAGAACATTTTCTCCTTACTTCAGATAACCAGTTTAATTTTAAATCAAACTATGGCACAGATATGTGTATATTCACTTTGAAAGAATTTAGATTTGTATATTGGGAATAATTCTACAATTTTTATGTGTTTAATTAATTTTTCAAAGCTCTATGATGAGATGGACACTGAGATGGACTAGTGCAAGTCTGTTATTTGTTGGTGCCTCTACTTTTCACGCTGCATTACGTACACAATGTGTGTAGATTACAGTACATGTTTCTTTATGTCGTCATCTTGATGCTAACGGATATCGCACAAAGTTTAGTCTTTTTGTAAAACTGTGACATATCTATGATTACCATCGTCCTCAGACTATTTATTTGAATTAAAATTTTAATATATGAACCTATTTGGGTCTTTAATAAAGTTGATGATGATAAAAGTGCTTACCTGAGAATTAAGACACAAATAGCCACTAATGAGTATGCCAGCAGCGTTCCTATGGACATGAGGTCAACCAGGGCCGCCAGATCGAACAGGAATGCCATCAGCGCTGCGAGGAGAAAACAAGAATTAAGAAAAACTCATTCTGTGGACGCAAACGCTTACAGCCACTTCAACCCCATCGGAACTGCTGCATTTTTTTCCTGTCGCATTCAGGAAGCTTTATCGATCCTGAACTGACATCCTGACAGACACGCTGAGACAAGACAGAGAAGAGCTGGAAATCTAATTAAAAACTGTGCTGACTCACTGCGATGGGAGAACAACACAGCTGAATCCTACCAACAGATATGTTACCTGCAACGATTCCAGAAACAATGGTAGCCAGGATGGGGGTCTTTGTGCGAGTGTTCATCCTGGACAGAACCCGGAACAGCAGCCCGTCCTCGGCCATAGCGTAAATAACCCGAGGCATGGGGAACATGGAACCCAGTAAACTGAGAGGAGAGCAAAAGCGAGACTTCAAATAGCTGCTTACAGCAAGTTACGGGTGTTAGGGTTTCCCTTCCTCACCTGGTGGACAGCGCACAGAGAGAACCCACGGCCACGATGTATCTGGCTGGCGCCCAGCCGACGTAGCTGAAGGCCTCGGGTAGAGGGCTGTCAGTGTTCAGCTGGTAATACGGCATCATCATGGTCAGGGCAGCTGACACGCCAAAGTAGGCGAAAAAACAGATGAGCAGCGAGGCCACGATGCCAATGGGGATGGACCGCATGGGGTTCTTAGCTTCTTCGCCTGGAGGAAGAAAACGACGGAAAAAGGATGAGCTGCAAGTTAAATGTCACTGAGAACCGAATAAATAAATTAAAACCAGCTTGCACTGAGTTGCAAAAGTACACCTTAAGCACATTTCATCACAACCACAAACCAGAACATACTGATACAGCGTTTTATGTAACTGACAAACACAAAGTAGTGCATAATAATTAGCTAATATATCTGCAAAACTCTAAAGAGTGTGTGTACATCTGTACCCCTCTAACCATCTTAACTGATTTAGCCGACATGTAAAACAGTATGCATTGTGCAACGCTAATAGTATGCATCGTAAATCTGAAAAGTATGGCATGAATTACAGCTGCAAATGTTTGGAGATATTTCTTTACCAGCTGTGCACATCCAAAGAAAATCTTCACACATTCTGCTTTGCAAGAATGTGTGAAGCTGAAACTTAGTCAGATTTGACTTTTTCCTTCTACTAAACTTTCCAACAATATCTTTGGATGCAGCACTCTGAAATGTCGTCTTTAATATTTATACAAACAGCTGAGCTTCACTTTTTAAACCGAATCAAAGTATTCGTGTAAGTATCAGCTGTAATATATTAATATGATCACATTTCCTACTGAATATGAACGGCAGACATTTTCTATCAGGCTAGAGTCAGTGGCCATATAGGCAGTCATGTTACTCTATTTGCACTTTGGAAATATAAAACATCCTTACTTGTTGTGGCAATACAGTCAAAGCCCACAAAGGCGTAGAAGCAGGTGGCAGCGCCAGACAAAATCCCAGAGAGGCCAAACGGGGCAAAACCACCGTCACCAAACTTCTCTGTCAGACTGGGGAAAAACAGAAAAAGCAACATTTAGAACTCCAGAACAAAACAGAACTTATGTTGGCAATAGAGACCAATACTCACTCCTTTTGGGTGACATTAGTGTCATTCTTGAAGTTAAGGTAGTCGTCTTTCTCGAGGTTCCAGTTGTTAACGTCTCCCTTGACGAAGCCGGATATGATGACGAAGCCCAGGACCACCAGATTGACTCCCGTGAAGATTTTGTTCACCAGCGCCGACTCGCTCACGCCGAAGGCCAAGAGACCTGAGGGGAGCAGACGCCGCAGGAAGCGAGGGGAAGAAATTCATATTCAGGATCAGTAACTGCATGTCCTGTTGCGTGGGCAGATATGTTCCGACAAACCATCACTCTGCAGCAGCAATCCTCTGATTAGCTCTTCCTAACACTGCTGCTGGCATGTGACATTAGCTGAAAGATTGGTGTGACAACTGTTCTGGTCGACTAATAAGATCTCTTTAGCTGCATAAACAGGAGTTTGTTTTTCCCTTCCCCTTCTACTAAAACTTTTAAGCTCTCAGCAAACTCACCGGTTAGCAGCAGGACCAGGATTAGGGCGAACAGATCTGGATACTCCGCTAGCACATTTCCAGGCACTTTCATTTCCATGGATGCTTTAAAGAAGCCGGATATTTTTCGTTCGACCAGGTTGTCAAAGGTCGAGCTCCAAGCCCTGGCCACACTGGCCGTACCTAAAAGAAAACAGAAGAGAAATCAAAAATCTGTTCATCACTGGAAACTTCATTCATTTCACTCGTCTGTAATCAAGCCCGTCATGATAAATTTTTCTGGACGATAAATTGTTCCAGAAATTATTACGGTAAACAATAATATTGTTGTTTCAAGACAATTTTCAAGTGATACAATGCTAATGGAATAATAATGCAAGAACAAATTCTTAAAGATTAATAAACTTTAAGCTCTAATGAATATTTAACAATGGAAACATTGTTATATGTTATAATGGAAACATTCAAATATCCAAAATGAATGAACAAAACAACAGAAACAACAAACAAATAAAATTGTCCTAAAAAAAGGTTAGTTGAGATCAAAGCACCAGACTTTTTTAGAAAAAGAGAAAATCAAACAATAATAAAAGAAAATCCTTCGTCTCGTTTTAATTCATAATTGATCTATTGCGACAGACCTCTTTATAAGCAATCTATTCTATGCTATTCAAATTTACTGCAATGAGCTTGTTTAACACTTTATCTTCCTAAACTGGAACTCACCAATGACATAAGAGAGGATGAGGTTCCATCCCGTTATGAAGGCCCATATTTCTCCCACCGTCACGTAGCTGTAGAGGTATGCGGAGCCCGTTTTGGGGACACGGGCGCCAAACTCGGCATAGCACAGGCCAGCCATCATGGAGGACAGGGCGGCGATGAGGAAACATAAGACAATGGCCGGTCCCGCCTTCTCTCTAGCGACCTCACCTGCGAGGACGTAGACGCCAGCGCCCAGCGTGGAGCCCACCCCCAAGGCGATGAGGTCCAGGGTGGATAAGCAGCGGGCAAACTGCGTCTCTTCATTGGAGAAGTCCAGTGCCCGGCGGCGCAGCAGGATTTTGCCAAAGTTGGACAGCATGCTGGCCATGATGGCTGTGATTATGCGTGGGTGCAGGAAAAGGCTATGCTTTTTAAATAATGCTAGCGTAGGTGGATGAGTGTGTGTGAGATGGGCACCGCTTATACAGAACACCTGTTCTCCGGTTTGGATCAGGACAGCAGGAAAGCTTGGGACAAACGAGGTAAACAACAAGTACTTGAATACTACTGGTCCTCTGATGTGTGTGTTTACTTAGGCAGGAGTTACTGGAGTACACAAAGCAGGAAGTGGCAGGTGTGTTGTCGAAGCAGCAGATTAGGACCTATGAGGAAACACAACAAGGAAAAATCTTTAACAGGGTTCTCATTCAGTACCTGCCAAAGCTTACACTTCTTACAGCTCAGATATCGTAATTAAACAGAGCTTACAGCATTGTTCCCGTTTCTACGAAAGAAAAATTAGGGCAGACTTAAATCATAAAAACAATAACAGGATGTGTGAACTCTGGAAAAGATGTTCCTTATAGGACATAAAATCTCCATGCATCTTTTGTCTAATAATTCAGGTATTTATTAAATAAAACTGTTCTTTAATGCTTTATTGCACTATCAGATAAACTCAGTATTTTGCAGAAATATTCACATCTCTAAAAAAGCTTCTAGAAACAAGGCAGAGGACGGCACAAAAACAAATAAGGAAAAACAACTTTGATCACACTAGTTCTACTGTGAAAAACTGTGGCGGCAGCATCATTCTGTTGGGAAAAAAACAAAACAAAGATTGTCAGAGTAGTTTACACCAAAAATATTACATAATGTGCAGACGTTACCTGTCAGTCGAAGACGACTGAGTTATGATGTGCAGAAGAATGAGGAAAAAATGAGAATGTATCAGGTAGAGACAGCCTCCAAAAAACATTGCAACTGAATATGTAACTAAATTGTTTTGAATGAATATATTTTATGAATGGAAATACATGTTTTATTTAATACTGAAGTTGAAATTCAGTATTTTCTTCAAATTAGTTATGAATATCCCTCTTATTGGCCAGCAGTCCTTCAGTAAGAAGGTAAAAAAGTATTCTACCTCCTGACATGAGAACCAGGTTACACAACTTCCAGGAATTCAAACCAGTTTAGTATACGATCATGAGATCTCGGTGGGGCACACGGTGACCTCGTGAAGACAAAAGGAGATCGAGTACTATCCTGCCAGGCCTAATTCTTCATTTCTTTTTTTTTTTTTGCTTTAACAAATAAACCTGCCATGTGACACATCTTAGTACAAACACAGGAACACCTTGCTCAAACCCTCACCACTTCCTTGCAGCGAGAAAGTGCAGACTACTGCTGGTTCAGTGTTGTTCTAAAAGCTTGGGAAAGGCTGTGAGGAGATGATGGGGTTGAATCAAACTAACATCAACAAGAGAGAGGTGGGGAGGACAGCATGAGCCAGTAATGTGATAAGGTGAACCTGCTGCTCTGGGAAAACACCGATGGAGTTCAAAACACTCAGAAACTGAACCTGATCTACAGAAAGGTTTAAATTAACCCAAAACCAGCTTTTGATGACGTAAACACCTGCTGCGTCACATCGGCAAATAATAAATGTTAATAATTAGAAGAGTTTCTGCAAACAAGACTTCAGCGCATCACAGTCCAAGGACATTTAGAGGAGTCAATTCAAGTGAAGAAACTTGCTGTTTTTTCTCAGAGCTTATCCAGCTATCAGATGGACGAGAATAAATACACAAATGAATTTAGGACTGACGTAAACCCCAAAGGTTAACAACCTGAGGAAGTGAAAACGGATTACTAAAGTACAAAGAGGCCTCTTTATACTAAGAAATGCTCAACTGACACTTACGGTATCACAAAGAAACTGGTTCCACAACATTTCGACTCCGAGTTTGCATAACATCTGTTTAACTTTCCGAGCAGTCAGTCCGCCGATCTGGGTTTGGCTAAAACAACATTGCCTGTGCAAACCTGCTCAGATTAACAGATAAAAGTTAACTTAAAAACTTGTGGAAATTCAGAACAGAAATTTGCACATTATAAACTGAGCGTGTGAATGACAGGAAGCTCAGTGCATTGTGTTAATCTGCTATCTGAGATCACACAAAAGCAAAGCATGCATGAGCCGAGATAATAATGTGATGAATGTGCAAAAATCATCCTCAAATTTACAGCAATGCTCTTGCAGACACATGGAACTCCTGCTTGTGATATCAAGGACAGTGAAAGTTTATCTGTTCTGCAAGTGCAACATTATTCAGACATTACGAAGAAGCTAAATAATCAAGAAAACTGTAACTTATAACAGCTTCATGTGACAGTGTCGTTATCAAAACAACAGACCTTTGTTCTGTTAATCGGGTGCGTTTGAGATTAGAGTGGCAATCTGAAGAACTAAAAGCTGATATTTCAATTATTTAAAAGATAACCACACATTCTAACTGGTTTAAAGGTTTATCACAAGATAGACAGTACACATGTTAGTTTATTGTTCTTTAACAAACTGGCCATTGTACTTTGCACAATATTTCACATTTCACTTCTTTTACCTGTCACAAATGAAAACTTGAATGCAAAACACTACGCCGCATGATGGGAAAAAGTCCAAGGGGTCTGAATTCTGTGAAAGTCCTGTTCTTCAGGGACTTTGAGAAAGTATAAAAAGCAATGCTGTGTCTTGTCTGAGGCCGTTTAAGCTGTGACACCTGATTCCTTGACATTTCAGGCCAGTCGGTCACTTCACTGCTCAGCCGGTGAAGAGAAGTGAAACTCTACCCCGGACCGTCTCAGTGTCACAGCGTCTACAAAAGACAAAAGACGAACTTTTTGCCTTAAGAAGGATCTGTTGTCTGACCAGTTTTGTTTAAACAAAACAAAAGTCTTGTTTGTTTTTTGTTTGTTTTTTTGTCTTGCAAAGCAAAAATCTTGGTTTAAACGTTTTAAAACACAAGAATCTAATTCTGGCTCCTTTCAGTGAACAGGACATAAACTCACAGTGCTTCAGTACAGACAATATCCTATTAATACCACAAAAGCAACACGACCAATTAATCAAAGCATGTCTCGTTCTACCGGATCAAAAGAATGCCTCGGTTCGTACAGCTTAGGATTGGAAGAAATAAAAGACAAACACGGTGAAACAATGAAATCTAAATAACAGTGCACCCGGGGCGCCGCCACAATAAACACTCGCCCCTCTGAAGACGATGGGAAACGGGTGCTGGGTGGAAATGCTCTAACCTCCTGCTTGGTGTGACATTCCAGCAGCATTTTTCCACTTGCACACCAGGAACTGAGATCTGAGGGGCGTCAGCGTTGTGCTAATAAACACCTATTAACAAAGTGCCATGGCTGGCTGAATGTGACCCTCACAGGGGTTCACCCAGCACCTCACAGAGTTGTTTGAGTGCAACCAGGAGAGCACTTTTTCTTTTTAGAATGCCAAATATCTGGAGGGTTTACGATGGCCTCATTAAAACGAGCCATCGCTGCGGCTTCGCTCATGTCAGCGCGCCGCTAATCTTTTCCTTGTGGTTTCCATGAGGGCTACAAACTCCACACACTCTTAAAAAGACCATCCAAGACACGACTTAACATATAACTAAATATTCAGTGAGATAAAGAACCCTGCTGTTCACAACAGCAGGGTTCTTGTCATAGTTTGTCCCTTAAAGGTTCTTCGTGCCGGCAGGACTGGTAACCCACCATTTCGGTCCAACTGCGCTCCGGTTATAACAGGCTTCAGGGATAATGGTTCTGTTGCTTGAGCTTCACTGCAGCTGCTGCCACGTACTGCACGGTAAGAGGATTATTTTGGAAGGTAACAAACATGCTAACCTCATTATAAGTTGTTTCTGGGTCATGTTCTAACTTGAACAACACATGGGTTTGTTTTGACTGCAGTCACTAGTGTTGATGCTGTGGAGGTTACAGAACGGCGCCGGAAGGAAGAGGCATCACAAATCTGTTCCATCCATTCAACCCACTAGACACCCTGGTCTCTAGTGGGGTCGGGCTGGGTGCTGATGCCCATCTCCAGATAATGTTCAAAGTGACTGAGTAATTATTGTTCAATTTACTACAACACCATCCATAGAGTATGACTCAGGCCAAAAATACTTTAGTGAAGCCTTTGTCTAAGCAGCACAAACCAGCCTGATTAGCCACATTTCTTTGACTCAGTTTTTTAACAAGCTTGCTTTGTTCTAAGACATTAAAGCAAAAAAAGAAAAAAAAACTCTGGGTGTGGCATTAATCTAAATCCCTTGAAATAGTGGGAATATAAAATGGATCAATATCAGTTGGATCATGTTATATAGATTTAGATTGTAATTTTTTTTTAAAAAAGAAAGAAAGAAAAACTGTGAAACTTCACTCAAACTCATGGGAATCTGTGTTATCTGTAGGACCAAATGGAACAAGACAAAGATTGCACTGCAAGAGTAAGAACCTGACCACATAAATACTATTATAAGCTCTTTATTATTCCAAAAATGATGCTGCAGTATTCTTCAGCAATCCTCCAACATTGTCTGAATTTATGTGTAGCCCCATTGAGTGAAAAATATATGTTGTATTAATGAAAATCTGCACAAAAGCCCCCAACAAAGCCCGTTCTGGGACCTTTGTTCACGTATCTGTGGAAAAGACCAACCGCTGAGACTGAACTGACCGACCTCTCAATTCACCTGGCAGGACACAGCAACCCGTGCCAAGAGCTGCTCTCCCCAGTCAAACAGAATGTGACGGACAACCTGCTCGCTTTCCCATGACCAACTCCAGCTCTGACTTGCTTTAACAGGACCTGGGAGCGGCAGCATTAAGCTCACGTAGAGCGAAAGAGAATAAAGCAGCTTGGCCGTGTGGTACCTAGTAGCCAGATCTTGAATCTCAAGGTGTGGCCGCTGAGCTGCGGCACAGCATGAGAAGATCGCTCGAGACGATTTGACAAAACAGAGAAACGCTTTGAATATATTTAACTTTAAGGGTCTTAAACTCAAGAGCCGCAACTCACCAGAAAAAAAAAAAATGGTACTAATTATTGTACCAGGAGGAACGCAGATCAAAGCCTTTAAAATGTTATAAAACCAAATAAAACTTATATCACAAGGTCTCTTCAGGTCAAAGTCTTCTTAATGAGAAGTGTCAACTTGTGCTATTTAGAGTAACTAACGACTCTCACCTTCTACCTGTTGCTTTTAACAAATGCATATGACTGTTTACAAACATTTATATTTTCTGATATGGGTGATATGGCTCTGCCCAGAGCAGCATAGTCTATGGGTGGGGATGACAAACAACTAAAAAAAAAACATAAAGTAGTTTTCTTTCAGCTGTATAACCTACTTTTCCACATTAAATGTGTTACTTTTGTCCATTTGACTATTCTAGTCAAATGGACAAAAGTAATAACCAAAAGTAATAACCAAGGATGATGATTTGATTATCAAATCATCATCAAATCATGATTTCATCAAATCATAAAATCATCTTGGATGATTTCACATGAAACAGATTATTTAAAAAATTATGAAGTCTCCATTTCGCTAAAATTAATTTAGAGTTAATTCTTATGGAAACACAAACATTAACACTGACAGTGGAGTTTGAATTGTTGTTATAATTATAATTAGATTATGTTAAATTATTTTTTTACTTTTGTGTTCACAATGAAATTCAGTTATTATACCTGCATAATCCACAGTATCATAGTAGATGAAGGTGAGGCAAACATCTATTGTTTATTTGCCTCACCTTGGGTAAACTAATAAAGCAAATATTTAGAAGTAAATCTCGTCACAAATATTTAATGAAACCATTGTAATGTGACTGAGGGCGTTTAAAAAATAGCGAACATAGACATCAAACGTATTAAATAGTAAAAGGACCATTAATATCTTTACTAGAAACTGTTAAACTTTAAATAGGTCAATAAAAAAAACGTGACATTTCACCGTAGCCGCAGAACTGGAGTTGCAGCATGGCTAGCAGTTTTACGGTACATCGACACCTTTACAACTCCACCTCACACCACCTGACCTTGAAGCTCAGTGGGTTTAGTAAACCGCTGAGCTTCAAGGCGTTTTACTGCAGGTTGCTTCCAGCCGGCTGATGCAACGCAGACATGGGAACACCCTGCAGCCTGGCGGCGGCTGCCGGGGACGGATGCTCGCCTCGATGACACTTTGTGGTTTATGCGCAAGAGAAACCCTCAAATAAAACAGCAGTTAAAATGTCTTCACTTACAAGCATCGCCAAACATCTTGAGTGATGTACAGCTGTTAGCATGTGAAGCATCTGCTTCGCTACGTGGCTTCCAAGCGCCCATCGCCTTGTGTTGATATTGTTGCATTCAAGGTATAAGCGACACTCAGTGACTGTCGGCTTTAAGGATCATAAATACAACGCGGCAAAGCGCCAAGCAGTGGTTTAACAGCTTCCTTTCCTAGTATATTGGTGAGAAAATCTGGACATTAAAAGCAACCATTTAATCAACCAACAACACTTTTTTGAGTTCACCTCAGGGCATTTCGACGCACATGTTGGATTTTTCGGTGCTTGGCGGCGGTCTTTGAAAGCAGCATTCCAGGCATCAACACGCCTTGATAAAAAGCGGAAAATCAGCCTCACGATGTTTGAACCGCGTAAAGCGAAGCAATGAATGAAAATATTGTGTGATGAAACTACGGGTGTCAGGTGTATTCTTTAAAAAGAGAGGACTGTTTAAACAGTTTTTCCACAATGGTAACCCCCGGATTAAGTTTCCCTTTTCTGCTCTGTTCTCATTGGTTTTTCCATTACACGCGAGGACTGAGCATCAGCTGATTCCCCGGTCAAATGACAAATTAAGCCGATTTGCTTCATGTTAACTACAGCTAATTAACTCATTATGACTATATCGTTTGGCGAATTGCAAGTCTTTTTCAAACGCGCACACATAAACCGGGTAATGAAGGTGAAGAACGTTTTGTTCTTTAGCGCCAATACAACACGAGGATTGCATCAGTCTTACTACGAGATAAATAAACATTACTAAAGAATGAAAAAAAGCGTCATTGAACACCGCTTGGATCTTTAAATGTCTACATATTTAAAAAATAGTTATGTTTGTACCTTTTGCTGTCTTCTGGAGTGCAATAGTGGGCAGACAGAGACGGAAGAGAAGCAGCGAAGTCTGTAGTTTCTGATGAAATATCCCGCCTGGTTGAGCGTTTTCATCAGTCGTAAAAAAGAGGGCGGGGCATATAAACAAACTGACGCAATACGAAGGCGGAGCTTTTTCACCATGAATGGATCATAACACAGCAGGAAATGTACAGCAGGAAATACTACAACCTTCAATGCAGAGAAGAGCTCCGTGAAGATCGCAAAGTTTGTATTTTAAAGGATCTCAAAGCAGGAAAGCAATGGACTTGCTTAACGTGTGATTTGCTGAGCAAGCAGAAACCAGAGCATTGCACTGGACTTTATTCGCCCATCATTATGGAAAACATGCGTCATCCTCTCGCTTTGTTTCAAAGATTCAGGATAAAAACGCAATGCATTACTAAACATTTATCTCATGTTTACATGTAGATTTGACTTGACTGTGGTTGTGATGTCAGATCGATGCTATTCTTAACATTTGGTATCTCATTTGGTGTGACTGACAGTCACACTGAATCCCACCCTAATATGGTCATATCATATCATATTCAATGCAGTTCATTTAAAAATACATTAATCGCAAAGGGAAAATGCATTTTGTTGTCACTCGTAGTTTTCTTCAAGGAGTTATACCTGCTGATGTTGGGCAGGAAGGATATCCTGCAGCAGCTCGTACTGCAGTGAATCTGAAGAAACCTCTGACTGATTTTGTTTTTGTATAACAGTCTCATGAAGAAGATGCTTAAGGCCGCCTCTAATGATCTTGATTTTATTAAGAATCCTTCTTTGTATAATCATTAGATGTTCCAGAGTTGTCCCAAAACAGACTAAGCTATGTTGTGACAAAGTTCTGTAAACCTTGAAGACTTTTTGGTTTTATTCAGCTCCATCTAATGAATCTTCCTGAGGAAAACAAAACTTGTCATAATTATCTGGGTCAGTTGTCTTCAGAAAACCAAACTGTTTTTTGTTGTTGTTTTTAGGGTTTTACAGCAAATAAGCATGTGAACAGAGTTCAAACTGGGTTAGGATGTCCAACAAGACCTGGCAACCAGTGGGCAACTGGATAAGGGTTGCCTTGTCTCTGATGTGGTAATGTGATCTGACTTGAAACTCCTCCTGCAAACTCGATCTTTATTTTCATAGACTTTAATAGTCTTATACACAATTCTAAAATAAATTAACTTGGACCATTGTCTCTTAACAGGAGGCCATCTTGCCAAATCTTCCACCCAGCTACACTAATCCTTTTAAGTTGCAGTAGTGTGCTTTTAGGTTTTACTAACCCCTGAAAATGTTGCTTTTAAAAAAAATTTCAAATCATACTTGGGATATACCCAGAGGTTGTGTTTAATCATTGGAAATATAAATTGCTCAAGCTCTCATTTTCTCTGTCTCCAACCATCTGTTCCTGTCCAGTGGTACTATAGTAACTACTCTTCTCACCCTTTGTGCATGCTCAGTCACGCTGCTTTGGGTTGCTCTTTCAATATACTTCCACTTTATCAAGCAAACTCGACCGGGTGTCTCAGCAAACGCAGCCAGCCTCATGGTTGCACACCAGGCTCCGGAGTTAGAATGCCTAACACAACACAGCCTAATCTCTGCTTTGGCCCCCTGTACTCATTCTGTCTGCCCACCGTCATCACTCAGGACAAGGCCGATACATCAAAGCTGGTTGGTTTTATAGGTCACGTACTCACACATGGAGAAAAGTTTGGATGGCCTATGGACCCCAGGGAAAACAGCTTATTCTTTCTTTTGTTTGTTTTAACCACAAGGTGTATTCAATCATACATCAAATTACTAAAAAAAAAAACTTTACATACCAAGGTTTGCAATTCTCTGTCATTTATTTCATTTTCTATTCTTTTTGTAAACCCCAGTTGTGTCTAATTAAAGTCAGAGCTCCTGTGGTTCAAGATCTGCATCACAAGACCACTATTCCTGGACAAGTTTAATCCACCGGTGGCCAGAATTTCCTCCACTGATAATCCTTCCCTGCATCTCCCAAAGCCCAAGGCGACAGCAGGAGAAAGATCAGACATGTTTAAAAGAAAGAATAAAATGCAGAACTCCGAACAGACATTAGAAACTAATTTCAGGCCACAAGTATACAAAAAAAAAGTGTAATCATTTCTCTGTACGATGAAAGTGGAACAATTTAAACTTTATAACGTAAACATCAATCTCATTTGTAAGGATCTGTTAAAAGCACAAATGAATTCATATTTATGCAGTTGCAGAATCTCACAATATGTAAACACATCCAGGCTTTATTTTAAAAACATACATTGGTGGCAAAAAAAATACTGTTAAATGATGTATTTAAAATGCTTCATAAGCCACTAACCTCGTTAAAGTGTAATCAACATGAAGTCTTTTAAGCACACTGTGTAGAATAGAACTGAAACTGGGTCATGATTGGGCTTTTTCCAGTCATTAACTAGATTGAGAAAAAAAAACATGCCAAGTCAACACAGAAATTGTTCAGGGGACAAAAGACAAATCATCCTCAATCCAGGCCCACCCCAGTCTCTGGACCTTAAACCTAAGGGACAGAACTGGTAAATATTAGAAAAACTGTGGCTGCAGTTGCACCAGGAACAGAAATTTTCCCACGCTGACCACAGGTCCCCAAACTTGGGATTTCATTTTTATACTTTTTACAGTGCTATTGCAATAAGCCAAGGATGCAAATACATGTGGCCAGAAAATTATTGAGTTTATGAGGAATAAATAACTGCCAATACAACTGCAATAAGAAGTTGTATTTCCCAAGTCCAAACTTGTAAACCAAAGTTTGAACAATTTCTTGGTTTAAACTAAAGTGAAAACCTTTCATATCTTAACTATTAAAGTTGTTCAACTTAAAGCTTAAACAGTAATGCAACTGTGAAACCCTCAACATTAATGCGACATTAAGATAATTTCAAACTGTAACAAAGTTTAAAACATTGCCACAAGGCTCTTATTCCCCATTTTAAACCAATTAGTTCCCCTGCAGGTCAGTCACCCAGCCTGAACTCTCTAGTTCATGCACTAATGACAAAACAAAAGGCTAGTTAAAATTTCCCTTCCTCCTAAACAAAAAGAAAGCGACAGGACACAGCAGGCAGCAGGAAATTTATTGGTGGACAGAATTAACAAGGTTCCTCCTCACCACCCAAAGTGGAACTGCAATGACAGTATGTAGTAAGAATAATAGACTTCACAATAATATTGATGAAGAATCAAACAGCAGAAAGTAAGACCAAATGAAGCCTTATATCATATCCCCCCGAAAACAGATCCGCAAAAAATATTGTTCATGTAATGAACCGCTTGTCACAGTGCTTAGATTATGGCCGTTTACCTAACTTAACTTTATTTCTAGCTGATCTGACCACATACAGCCAATATGTAGGCATGCTGATTCAGTAACTAACAATCAGGATTAACACTTGAACCTGTTTTAATAGCATTCAAATAAAGAAAAAAAGTGTAATCAGAGGGAAAATAAGCTGACCGGAATGACACGTTGCTGTCTTTTTCACGAATGCTACATGTTGCGTAACTTTGGGAGGCTATCGTGAAAAGAATGCTAGAACACCAATAAAAGCGAATGACAGTTTTGTATCAGATCAACTGGAAAGCAATCAGAAAACATAATCAATGTTAAAAAAATTAAACAAAAAGATTAACGTGTATATAGCACTTTTTCTTCTTAACCAATTTATTCAAAGTAATGTACATATGGTATGTGGAATGACCAAATGAAAACACCTGAACTTATTCATACATTGATTTTAAGTTTTTGTCCAGGAGTAGTGTTCCTCTCGCATATCCGGAGACTTCTCACATTCCCATCAGCTTTGTATTAACGTGATGTAGAAATAAATGTACATAGGGCAGGCGCAGGTGTCTTTGTTGTCTTTCCAATAAGAGAGAAAAAGAGAGAAACAAGTTGCAGAAAATGAAAATATTAAAAACAGACTAGTGCACTGACTTAAGGGATAGAGCACACAACAGATCACAACAGCTTGTCATTTCTCCTCCTGCATTGTTGCTCATTTTATCAGTGCTGAACACTCCTGGTTAGTGGTGACAGGTTTCCTTAGTTTTACAGCATGCATAAAAGCAACAGTTCTCTGCAGTAGCTACACAACACAGATTATTCAAGAGTCCTGAAATAACACTGGACATGCTGACTCATTGGACTTACTTAGACACACAAGCACTACTCAAGACAAACTCAGCAATTTT